GGCCTGTACACCTCTGTGGGCCGCCACTGGGCCTGAATGTCTCCGCCAGCTGCCGCTGGGCCTAAATGTCCCTGTCAGCCACTGCCGCCGGACCCATCCACCTCCGCGGGCCGCTGCCCGGAACTTACTCTTCTTAACTGTCTTAACTGCAGACAGAACTCGGTCTGCAGTTTTTCCCATTTTGGTCTCACCCTTACTTCTCCTTTTTCTTTCCTGGCCCCCAGCTCAGGGAAGACCCATAGTGAAGGTGGGTTCACACTGGTTATCCTCGTCTAGATAATCCCTCAAGCATACCCAGAAGCTGTCTCTTGGGAGAATCTAGATTGTCAAATTGACATTGTTAACCATTACACTCAAGCTCATCTTGACAACAACCCAGACCTTGCAGGGATAGCTTCAAAAGTGCCTTTGTCTGCAGGCCCAGACTTAGATTAATTCATGGAGGACAGTTAAATTAAGGACCAAATCAGATTCCTCTAGAGTTCAAGTGAAAACTAGCCCCAATTCACTGAAATATTTTTATGTGATTTTATTATTTTGTGTAGTGGAGTGTTTTGCCTGCAAGTATGTCTGTGTACCATGTTCAAACAGCGCCCTCAGGCCAGAAGAGGATGTCACATCCCTTGGGACTGGAGTTACAGTTAAATAAGTTTCCATTTATGTAAGAGCTGAGTTGCTGCTTTTAAGTCTGTTTCCTGGAGCCTGACCTGCCCTAACCTGTAACCTTGACTTATTTTTAAGGACATCCTGGCCCTCCCTAGCTCCCCTAATCACCCTCCCTACATGGCAACCATATGGTGGTTTTTTTGGGGGGGTTGGTTGGTTGATTTAGGGTTTGTTTCGTTTTGGTTTTGTTTTGTTTTGAGACTTTTCTGGTCTTCCTTATCTCTCCATTGTCTCTCTTCTGCAAACCTGCTTTGCCAATACTCATGATTTTACTCCTTAAAAGGGGCCCAAAAAATGGACCCAGGCTGTTCTCTTTAACCCAACTTAGAAGGCAGTCTGCTGGACAGCTCTTTTGTGCACCCCAGTAAAATCAAGCTTGCTTCAAATTTGGCTCAAGATTGTGGTAGTGATCTTACCTACCAGTGATCTACTCCCTGGCTCATAATTTACCAGTCTTATTTGTGCTAGAAATTGGAATAATTTAAAAATATCTAAAACTTAACATCGTATATTATCTAATTAGAGACTTAGATCACTAAAGGTTAAAGTTTATATTAAAAGCTGTCATTTAATTCCTACTTGACAGCCGGGTGGTGGTGGCTCATGCCTTTAATCCCAGCACTTGGGAGGCAGAGGCAAGTGGATCTCTGCGAGTTCGAGGCCAGCCTGGTCTACAGAGCAAGTCCTAGGACAGGCACCAAAACTACACAGAGAAACTTGGTCAAAAAAAAAAAAGGAAGGAAGGAAGGAAGGAAGGAAGGAAGGAAGGAAGGAAGGAAGGAAGGAAGGAAGGAAAGAAAGGAAGGAAAAGAAAGGAAAAAATCCTACATGACATGATCAAAATAAGAAATCTTGCCCCATGGATTATTTGGCTTTTCTCTTTACTCATCTATTCATGTATGTGGTTCTTTTATTGCCCTTGTCTTACATATCTCTCATTTAGGTAAATCTCATTGCCAAGAGTTAGTGTTCACATAGTGTTTAATCTTGAGTGACAAAAATAGTTCCATTCTGTCCACAGCCATTGGTTCATTGGTAAATAAAACTGCATACATGTTCTTCCAAGTTAAGAAGGACCTGTAGACAGAAACTGACCTGCAAGATCAGTTAGTGGGACATTTAGAGGTAAACCTTAGAATTGGAAGTGGATGTCCTATAGGTAGGCAAGTCTTGTTTTTGTTGAAATGTTTTGACTATTGTTGGCATTCTACATTTCCACAAACAGCTTAGAATGACTGTCAAGTTCTCTGTTGTGACAGAGTGCATTGAGTCTGCAGCTGTCTGTAATGTCCTCCATATCTTGTTTCCAGGTACTGCTGTGTTACAGTATTACCTTTTTAAAATGGCATTTCCTGTTTGTAACCAATGCTAGAGAAAAATATCTGATTTTTGAAGAATTTTGTTTAATTCTTTTCATTCTAATAGTTCCTGATTCCTGGAAATATGCATATAAATTGTGAATTTTTTTTATATTTTTTAAGGTTTATTTATTATGTGTACAGAAGAGGGTGCCAGATCTCATTACAGATGGTTGTGAGCCACCATGTAGGTGCTGGGAATTGAACTCAGGACCTCTGGAAGAGCAGTCGGTGCTCTTAACCTCTGAGCCGCATCTCCAGCCCCGTGAATATTTTTATTTAAAAACCTTTATAGTGGACGGGTGGTAGCGGCACACGTCTTTAATCCCAGCACTTGGGAGGCAGAGCCAGGCAACTCTCTGTGAGTTTGAGGCCAGCCTGGGCTACCCAGGAAAGGCGCAAAGCTACACAGAGAAACCCTGTCTCGGAAAAACCAAAAACAAAACAAAAAAACCCAACAACTTTATAGCCTCCCAAGTATAGCTACCCAAGTTTCCATTCACAGGCAGTCATGCCTTGCTATTTATTGAGTTTTGTGGGTGTTACATATAATAGATGTCTTGGCAGTGTGTTTTGACTATAACGTTCAGACCTTCTGGCCATAAGCAAAGTCTTCCCTAGTCTTATATTGTACTTACAGTCTTAGTTTTTATTTTTATTTATGTATCGGTGTTTTTTGAGATAGGGTCTCACTATGTAGCTTTGACTGGCCTGCAGTTTGCTCTGTAGCCCAGGCTGGCCTCCAAGTCATAGAGATCCCCTTGGCTCTCCCTCCAGCGCTGGGATTAAAGGCGTGCACCACCACTACACCCTTCCCTGTGAGCCTCGGTTTTTTATTGTTTCAAATATCCCATTGATTTTCATGTATTGATTTTTCACTCATAGGACAACATAGTCCTGTCTGTACCTGTTTATTATAGATACTTTAAGATTTTCTCTGTAGATAATTGTGTCTGAAAATACAGCTTTCCTTCCTCCTTTCTAGTCTGGACGCCTTTTGTAAACATGTTTGGCATTTGGCCTGTTGTGCTGACTTCAGCCGCCAATACAGCGAGAAATAGGAACGGAGCATGGACATCCTACCCTGTTTTTATTCACAGGTATTTACCCGTCTACTTTCCTTAGCTCTTATTCATCTCAGTAAATTCCCAAAAAGCTCAAACTGTTGGCCTTTTAGAATTGGTCAGAGGACCTTGGGGTTTACCTCATTTTCAACTACCTAGGCAGCTCTCTCTCTGTCTCTCTCTCTGTCTCTGTCTTTCCCTCTCCCTCTCCCTCTCTCCCTCTCTCTCTCATCTTCTCTCTCCCCACTTCTATCTGTCTGTCTATCTATGAATCTCTCCTTTGCTTTTGTTTTTTTCTCTCATTTTTTAGAACATTGAGGTACAGTTCACATACCATGAAATCCACCTTTTAAAGTGTTTGATTCAGTAGTTTTACTCTATTGAAAGGTTTGTACAACCATTATCACTAATTCCGGAACATTTTCACCCCCCATCATTGGTTCCCCTTGCCTTCTCTTAGTTCCTGCCCACCACAGACTTGCCTTCAGGTTCCAGATTTGGGCATGTGGACATTTCTTATGTGCAGACTCATGAAATCTGCCTCCTGTAGCTTTGATTCCAGGCCTCGCCCAGCAGCACAGCTCCATCGCTCCTCTTACGGCTGGTGACATCCTCTGGTGTGGCTGTAGCATCTGCTCACACAGTTGGCAGTGGGCGGTGGACATTTTTACTATAGTTCCTGTGAGTTTTTGTGAGCTTTTATATGAATATATATTTTGTTTTCTTGGGTTTGGGAATTACTGGGATAAAAGTAGTTGTTTCAAGTTCCTGGGAAACTGGCAGTCATCGTCTGTCCTCAGCAGCACTGAGAGTCCAGTCCTCCACACTTGCCAGGACTTTTGATTGTCTTTTTTGCTGTGGCATTCTAGTAAACTCTTGTGCAGCACAGGCTGAACCTTTCAGGGTTCACCTTATTCGGGGCTGAAACTTTGCCAACTGAATAAGCTCCCAACACATCACTCAGTTGTAGGAAACAGTCATTCCTAGTACACAGACAAAACTACTGACCTAAAAGAGACAAAATGGCATGGAGCAAAGTTTTAAAACTTGATTTTTAGCCAAGCAGCAGCAGCGCACACCTTTAATCCCAGCACTCGGGAGGCAGAGCCAGGCGGATCTCTGTGAGTTCAAGGCCAGTCTGGTCTACAGAGCAAGTTCCAGGACAGGCTCCAAAACTGCACAGAGAAACCCTGTCTCGAAAAACAAAAACAAACAAAAAAACTTGACTTTAGGCACTATTAAAACCCCAAGGAGAGATAGTCAAGATGCTTTGGCAGGGTCTTGTCCGGCTCCTTTCCTGCCACAGTGCGCAGATGTGGTGGCAGTGGTGGGCTGTTTGTGTTGCGTGTGACACAGGATTCTGCACCAAAGCACTCTTACCCTCTCCGCTCGCTCTTATGGACTGGAGTCTTTCAGAACTTAGCTTAGATTTTATACCATTGTCCTTTTTAGTCCCCGGGTCCCTTGAACGCTCCATTGACACTTCTGTTTTTCTACTAGAGAGCCTTATATTTGATATCATTGTTTTTGTTTGGTTGGTTTGGGTTTTTTGTTTGTTGTTGTTGTTTTTTTTTCCCCAAATTAATCATCAGCTTATTTAGGGTTATCACCAGGGGTGCTTTATTCTGAGGGTCACAAATAGTTTAGGTCCTTCTATATTAATTAGTTACTACACATGTAGCTTCTGAGCCATGGGCTGGCCATGTGTTCTAGCTGTCTGGGGCTACAGGAGCAGCCTCTAGGTCCTTCTCAACCCTTCGGATGCTCTGGTTCCCACAGGACTGTGCAGGCACTCCAAGTATGGGTTAGAGTTTCTCCCCTCAGAGACGTCTCTGCTCTGACCTTGGAAAGGAGCCTTCTAGATCCAACACTGGCACTCAGCATCCTGGTCCAGACCTGCTTATGGTGTGCTGGGAAGGTGTGCAGCGGCAGCTGCCAGCTGTTACAGGACTGTGTCCCAGCAGGGGGCGCCAGAGTGCCAGCATCAGGCGCTTGTCTGGTTGTGTTTCTCCTGAAGAGTATTCCTATATAATAGCATGTGCATAGCATTCAAGGCAGTGATGTTCTTATCCTCTTCCAATAACATGGATGAAAGCAATTGTCATCCATCCCTGATGAGGACATATTCGGAGAAATACATCATAAGGTGATTAGTGTGTATGTTAACAGCGGGGTGTACTTGAACAAGCTGTTATCTATGACCTCAATAGATGATAGAATCTTAAGAGACTGCCATCATGTATGTATATAGAATGACCCATCATCTACTGTTATAGAAACTTAAGAAGGAAAAACATGTATTTAAGGACTAGAGAACCAATTACAGTAGGTTCTCAAGTACAAACAAAGGAGAGAACCGTTTGGGGGTGGGCGGAAATCAGCAGAGTTTGAAGGGTACCATTTATCCGGGATGAATCTTAAATACTCTAATTGTAAAAAAAAAATATGAAAATGTTAATCTTTCACTTTCACTTTCAAATGAACAAATAACTCCTGAAAAAGAATGCCCGTGGAATACAGAAGTAAATGACAATACACTAAGACCTGAACGCTGAGGCTGGCGAGATGGCTGTTTTTGCAGAAGACTCACAGCCCAGGAGGCTCACGTCATCTCTGACTCTAGTCTGGAGGGTCCAGTGCTCTCCACTGGCCTCTGTAGCCTCCATGAGGTGCACATGCAGACACTCGGCACACACACTAAAGAAAGAAATGCATCTTTTCAAAGGAAAAAGGAGAACCCAGTGACCTTTTCACTTTACCTTTACAGTAAAGGAATCAATATGTACTCAATAAAACAAAACAAAAACTTGGGCGGGGACATCTGAATGTTTGGGAAGTAAGGGACAGGGGGGCAGTTCCAATGCAAATGCAGGCTGAATTTGTTTCATGCAGTTTTATTGCTTACAGGTCATATATATAGGGAAAGTCACATAGTAAAAAATGATTGGAATTTTGGCAATTTTTCTTTTTATTAGGCAATGTTTATTTTCATATTAGAAAAAATAAGTTCCTTGTGGCTCTAAATTAATAAACTAATAATGATCTTATAGACATGTGTTGTATTTCATCTCAACTGACAATAAGCCACTACTCTAACATGGATATTGTGCATATCTGAGTGGGACAGAAAGTGGTAGAATCATCACTGTTAACATTTACTTTTAAAGAACTAAAGACATTCATTCCTATCAAATCTGAAGGAACTGCCCAGGCAAAGAAATGTAATTTAAGTTTTTTACTGGTATATCATCAAAAGAAAATATGTACTATAAATCAGAATGTAATTTGCCAAGTTCTGAATATAGTTATTAAATATAAAGGTGTTGTCTAAAGAAGATAATATTTACAACAAATAAAAACCAGATTGTGGAATATATATATTCTGGATATAAAAATAAGTACAATGTCCAGCGGTCCAACAGGGTCCTTCTGGGTATAGCTTTACCAGTGGGACTCTGCGCCATGCTGGCTCGGAGCGTCGGAAAGTCAGCATCCCTACGTTAAAGCAAGTACTGCCTTCTTAGGGCTTCCACGTCCTCGGCAGTGAAACGTTGGGCCCGGGCCTGCGACAGGCTCTCAAGCAGCTGCGCCATCTGCTCCCTTTGGCCTTTGTTAATTAGTGTCAGGGTCATCTGGAAAAGGGGACAGTCCTGTGAGCACAGGCCACACCTTTACAGAGCCCGGAGCCCCGGCTCGTCCCAGCGAGCTGCTGCTTACCTCAAACCTCTCTGCTCGGCTCAGATACAGGAGATGTTCATACACCAGCGAGGGGTCCTCGGCCACAAGGTGACTCTTGAGTGACTGAAGGAGGAGCAGCAACATGTCCCCTTCCAGTTTGTTACTTAGCAACACTGGCAGATCTCTGGGTGCAGTGAGGGCCAGAAGGTGTGCACAGGCCTCTGTGTCTTTCTCGGTGCAGATAGTGTTTAGGACCTGTCCGAACTCATAGGCGTTCCGAGGCTTGGAGACCTCAACTTTTCCAGAGCGTTCTACAGACTCTGCATCTCCAACTCCCTCGCTGGCGGGCAGGGAGGCGGCAGGGGCCTCTGCAGCCCTCTCATACTCCTCATCACTGCTTTCGTTAACCTTCACAACAGAAAATGATACCAAGTCACGACACTGAATACCAGCCACACATATCACAAGTTTCTGGGAACTGAGACCACATACAACATTTCAGTAGTCAAGTTCTAAATGAAAATAATTTTTTCTTTATTTTCAGATTTTTTTTTTGAGACAGGGTTTCTCTGTAGCCCTGGCTGTCCTGGAACTCATTGTGTAGACCAGGCTGGCCTCAAACTCAGAGATCTACTTGCTTCTGACTCCCGAGTGCTAGGATTAAAGGTGTATGCCACTACCACAAGGCTAAAAAAAAAAATAATAATAAAAACATTATAAGATACTTAATTTCTTTAAGAAGAAGTTAGGGTATAAAAATATTCTTCGAAGTTTAAAAACTCTGTTCTACACTTAAAACAAACTGAAGGCTTCTATCAGTTTTTATTTTTATGATTAATTTTACATTCATTTTCATTTCCTTATATTTAGTGAAGTTAGCCTACATTTTTCATTTCTCTTAAAAGTTTTTTCTTGCTTAAGCAAGAAAGGGGGAAAAGTCATAGATCCTCACTTGCTGCCTCTTATTAGAAATGTCAGACCATAAATAGATATTAGCATTCATGAATGTACAGGAGTTTATGTCCTGACATTCTTCATTAATGGCAAAGCAAATCATGTGGCTTTCTAGGAGTCACAGAGGTAGAGATGATGCCCAGGCTCTCTTGGAGAAGCCATGCTATCGAAGAGTTAAAAGAGAGAGAGAGAGATGGGCCAGGAGTGATTGTGCACACCTTTGATCCCAGCACTCAGAGGCAGAGAGGCAGGCAGATCTGAGTTCAAGGCCAGCCTGGTCTACAGAACAACCAAACCAAAACAACAGCAGTACGTCAGCTTGGGAACGTCCCCACCAGGAGTGGTTTGCATGGCTGAGGAGGAGCCACATGTCTACCCCAGAAGAAGCCTATGGCCTCGGGCTCCCAGAGCACAAGCCGACAGAGGTAACAGTTAAAACAAGATCTTCTCTGACATACAGATTCCCACTATCCATGGCCCACGCTGAGAAACATGGTGGCTAAATAAATAAATTAAAAAAGAAAAGAAACATGGTGGCTAATTGTATGTCAAAAGGCAAATTCTGCCTTCACAACTGGCTCAAATTTTCATTGACAATCAGAATAAAAAGGAAAAGATCCTGTAGAACTCACAGGAATATAACCTTGGGATCCATATCAGATCTCAGCAGAGTGCTTTCAGAGTCTGAAATACAAATACCTCTTGGACTTCGATTCTCTTCCTCTCCCTTCCTTTGCTGGGAGGCGCTGCACCGTCCTTAGCGTCAAGGTGCCTGGTTGCCTCGTGCAGCTCCGTCTTTGCCTCACCCGTATCTGGGTGTTGACGGGAGTCAGCTAGGCTTTCCCGGCAATTCTGAAAAACGTGATGACAGGATGGTTTGCGTAGGTCAAGGCTCGTGGGCTAGCCTGGATGACAGTGTGTACAACGGCTTCCATCAGTGACACCACACAGCGGGTGTGGAAGAGTGTGCTGTGAGACAGCCAGGACACACCGTACTACAGCAAACCTCCACTGGGGTGGAGAGGACAGTTAGGCAGCCGGGCCCATTCTGTGTCATGATAACCTGTTCTAACATGGTAGGCACCCATCTGCTGAATGAATAAAAGAAATGGGTGAACTGATTAGCCCCCAAATAACTTTTCCTGTTGCTGGAGGATTTATTTTGGCTCACAGTTCAAGGGCACAGTCGTCATGCCAGGGAAGGTGTGACAGCCGGGGAAGGGACAGCTGTCACGTGCATCCACACTCAGGAAGCACAGAGAGACAAGTGTGCTCAGCTCAGAGAAAGAACTTGCTTTCTCATTCAGTCCAAACACGCAGTCCATGAAATGCTACCACCCAAATTTAGGGCGTGTCCTCCCTCCTTACCTTAATCTAGATTTCGTTCACACACCCAGAGACGTTTCCCCTGGTGTCTTAGTCAGGGTTTCTATTGCTGGGATGAAACACCATGACCAAAGAGCAAGTTGGGGAGGAAAGGGTTTATTAGGCTTACACTTCAGCATAGCTGTTCATCACTGAAGGAAGTCAGGACAGGAACTCAAACAGGGCAGGAACCTGGAGGCAGGAGCTGATGCAGAGGCCATGGAGGGGAGCTGCTCACTGGCTTGCTTCCCATGGCTTGCTCAGCTACTTTCTCATACAACCCAGGACCAGCAGCCCAGGGATGGCACCACTCACCATGGGCTAGGCCCTTCCCCATTGATTACTAAATGAGAAAATGCCTTAGAGCTGGATCTCAAGGAGGCATTTCCTCCACTGAGGCTGCTTCCTCTCTGAAGACCCTAGCTTGTGTCAAGTTGATACACAAAACCAGCCAGCACACATGGTAATGCTAATCTAATCAAACTGATGACAAATATTAACCGTCAAAGTCCCTGCTAGTGAGGCCTGAGATCCCACGTGAGGTATGGTGCACAGCCCTAGTCCTAGCTACTCTGGAGGCCAGAGAATGGTTTGAGCCCAGAAGTCCAAAAGCCCCTGAGCAACAAAACATGATGAACTTCCCAGTAAAAAATGCTTTCTCAAGGCTGCAGCAAGGAATGAGTGAGTGAGTGGACCCATAACGGGCACCACAGGGTGTAGCTTTTCTAATTGTCTTGTTCTATAAAACCCTGCAAAGTTGTTCCTGAAGAACCAAAGCACCCCCAATTCAAGCAAGCCCCTCACTCCAGCTTGAAACAGGCCTGGGTTTCAAAGTTCTCAGAACTGCTGACATAGGTCCCAGGACAAAGTCAGGATGTTTGAAGAGCCATCTGATAACAACTAATTAACCATAGAATGCCCCAATGCCGGAGATGGTCAAAAGTACAAAGTCAGGATGTTTGAAGGACTATCTGGTAACAATTGATTAACCACAGAATGCCTCAATGCCGGAGGTAATCTATAAAGTTTGACAAACAACCAGTTAAAACTACAAAGTAAGATAACACAGAAATTCTGGAAAGCCCCTAAAACTTGAGCCAATCAGAATTGTACCCATACTAGCACCCCTAAATGATGTAACCTTGTGGTTTTTGCCTCTAAAACCTGAGCTTGCGGAGGGGCGGGCACCTCCTCCAGCCTCTATGGTGTTGGATGGTTTGACAAGGGCCCTGCTGCACAGCTTGAACTGCTTCAATAAACCTTGGTTTTGCATTTCGGTGAGTTTGTGTCTCTGGTGGTCTCTTCAGGGGTCTTGCACCCAGGGCACAACAGTTCCCAGTTGGAAATTGGCCAGCATTGGATTTTAATCTCATTTAGAGTCACAGCATAAGTTGGAGAGGTAGAAGAGAGACTACTTGCAGAGACAAAATGTGCCATTTCAGCAGCGTTCTAGAACTACAGCCTAGAGCCATGTTTGATTAAGCCCAGTTGTGAGGTGGAGAATCATGACTCTCTTAAGTACTTGAGATGCATCATGGCAGCATGCACTGGAGGCTGAATGGCGTCTCCTGAGTTAGTGGTTGCATGGTATTCCTGGGAGACCAGCTGTAACACTGGTCCCTTCTTCCTCCACAATAACTAGAGGAAGAGTGGCATGTCTCAGACTGAACCCTAAAGCTGGGGTGCAAACTCTAACACCTGTTCACGTTCTACTGTTGGAGTGCTCCGACAGAACCGGACAGAATGGACATGACATTTACATTACGGCGTTCTAGATGGGGACCACAGGCAAGAGGCCAGAACACAACCGGAGGGCAAGGTGGGGCGGGTATGGTCACAGACTTACCAAGACCATGCCAAGCTGTAATTTACTCTCCTAGCCCCATAGACAAATGACTGTCCCCATCTCAAAAGGGATGAAACGGATCTAAACAAAAATCATTGAAAAGACCGTGGCAGTCATGCCCGGAGCTGGGTGATAAGCCAGGGCAGCCCGCTGTCAAGGTCTGAGAACAGGAATCTGGGAGCCACAGACTAGGAAGCGGACATT